AAAAAAAAAAAGAAAGAAAGAATGAATAAATGCTCTTAAACAGCTGTGGATGGAGATGGAACCACAGCATTGTTTTGTCACTGCATCAGGTCATCTCCTGCAGTGACAAGGACAAAGTCACCGTGATTGGAGCCGGGGTGACTCTGCAGGAAGCTTTAATGGCTGCCGATGAGCTCTGCCGACAAGGTCAGTTGCTTGTGGGCGGGCGGAGAGTGAGGCTTGCGAGCTGGAGCCCCGTTCCCGAGAGCGGCTGCTGCACTTCTGGCCCGGGTGTCTTCTCCTTGGTGGTGCGGGGTGGGGCCCGGCCTGGCCTTGCGTGTGCCGGGCAGGTGTGGTCCCGCTGAGCTGCACCCCACCCTGTCACGGCCCATTCTTTCCTCCAAGCCTGCCTCACCCCCATCGGTCTCGCTCCTCTGCAGACATCTCCGTCCGCATCATTGACCCGTTCACCATCAAGCCCCTGGACACTGCCACCATCATCTCCAACGCAAAAGCTACTGGTGGCCGGATCGTCACAGTGGAGGACCACTACCCAGAGGGTGCGGGCACTGGGAGCCGGGGGAAGCGTTCTGTCACCTGCAGCTTGCAGTGTCGGTGTAGGGCTCTTGCTGACCTGTGCTGGCTCCGTGTGCGGCTAACTGGGCAGGGAGCACTTAGTCCTTCCGGTTGCTTGGCTGTCCATCCGCTACCCCAGAGGCAGCGCTGCGTAATGCAGACCACGGAGGGGGGTGTGCCAGGGAGGGGGCACGCGGGGCCCAGCTTGTGGTTGCTGTCCTGCCTGAGGGCCACACAGCACCAGTGTGGGGGCTCAGGGAGACCGGAGAAGTCTTGCAGAGCACCCGGCCATGTGCCATCCCTGCTCGGCTGGCAGGCGGGTCATGTGGGACCTGTGCCCGGCGCGCACGGAGATGCCCGGCTTCATAGTGGAAGGCGGGTGCTCTGCATAGGCAGCGCAGCGCGGCCAGGCCTGCCTGTCACCCCCTCTGACAAGACACCCCTGCTGTGTTGGTTTAGTGGGTTGTAGGTCCCCAGCAGCTTGAGACTCCAGTCCCAAGCCCTGGATCCCACCATCTGGCAGAGCGGCCTCTCCTTGGTTGCGCAAGGGCACGGTGTAGGGCTGCGGAGGAGACTCACTTCCTCTGCGGGCTGCCCAGCTTGTGTCTCCCTCATGCGTCCAGAGTGGATCCCAGTGTCCCTTGTGTCCTTCCCCAGGTGGCCTTGGGGAAGCTGTGTGTGCTGCTGTCTCCACGGAGCCCGACATCGTGGTGTGCCGGCTGGCGGTGCCGGTCATGGGTGTGTCCTGCAGCGGGAGGCCCGGCGAGGTGCTCCCCACGTTCGGCATCAGCGCCAGACACATCGTGATGGCTGTGATGCGCATGCTGACACAGTGATGCGCGTGCGCCCGCCCACCCCGTGCGCCCCTGTGACGCTCAGTCTCAGCTCTTGTTCTGTTCTCAGACATCCCAGTGAGCACCCTCCCTTTAGCCGAACTGTTAGGCTCCATTTTGAATCTTTCTTAGCAAGCTTTAAGTGGTAAATACAGCTCATGCATCAACACCTGGCAGTGAGTTTTGAGAGACTGGGGAGAAGTGGGTTGAGGGTCGGTGTGGAGGCCCTGTCCTTAGCGGTGTGTTGCCCTCAGCGCTAGGCCAGTGACGTACCCCACTGCTGTCGCCACTTCAGGGCTCCTGGCACAGCCTTTCTGACTTCCTCGGTGACCCCCGTGCGCCGCTGGGGCTGGAGCAGCGCTTGGGGTGTCCTGGGCTGCTGGCGGCAGTGATGCCCTGCAGAGACACATGGGAGAGTGACAGGGCCCCAAGGGAAACCCAGAGAAGGGGACCGCACCGCAGACAGCCATCCCCAGACACTGCCAGGTCCTGGGGCCTGCTCCCTGGTCAGGCCTGGAAAGGGAGTGTGGTCTCAGCGACATTTCACAAGGTGACCCTTGACAGAGGGTGATGCTAGAAAGTGGGTGACAGCCGAGCGACACTGCTGGCGATGAGTCTCACCACCAGGGGACTTCCAGGAGCACGGCTGCCCCCCCAGCCCCGGCCACCTCTCGATTCCCCGTCGGGGCTGTTCTGTAAGAATGGCCGCTTTCACCGAGTAAGGTGTGCAGCCTACATCAGAATGAATCCTTTCTCTGGCCGAGCAATACTCCATTGCTGCTGCGGATTGTATGTCCCTGTTGTCACCGGGCGGGCACTTGGCTGGCCCCATTTTGTCTGCTGTGGGTACGGCTGTGCCGAGCCCTGCCCAGGCCAAGTGTGGTTGGACAGCCCGCTTCCGCTTGGGCACCACGATGTCGGGCAAGTGGCGCCCTTTGGACGGGGAGGGGCCCCAGCGGCCTGCCCTTCACGCCCGCCCTCCTCTCCTGTGGGCTGGGGAGCCCAGCTCAAGTGGTCGCCTCCCTGCTGTCCTCGGAGGAACGCCGGCCGGGCGAATGGTGCCACTGTCTGCTGCTCGGCCACCCAGACGCCCCTGGAGGCCGCCCTGCCCGGCTGGCGGGTTTCTCCTTCGAGCCCCTTCTCAGCTGCTCCCCGGTCGGTGGGGACCGCTACGTGGGGTGGGAGGCGGCGGCCCTGGCCTGGGGCGCCCTCCACGGGGAGCCCGGCCGCCCCCGCAGGCCGAGCCGCCTGGCCCGCGACGCTCTCGCTCCC